TGAGAATCTGTTTGGCCACGTCTGGAGTTGATCTATGGTCCTTCAGTGATTTTATCAGGAACCTGAAATAAAGATATCTGAGATTTGCATATGTCAGTGTTACACACTGAAATCAGCAGGCCTTCCACGTCTTTTATTAAGAAAGTACAGATAATGAGTGAAAGAAAATGCTAATTTTATTTGGTGGCTCTCTCTCCATTCAACTTTCCTGATCAGAGAGACAAATTAAGAAGGATAGTGAGTTTATCCAGGAGCCATTTGTTAGACATCTTCCCAAATCAATGCCTGACACAACGGAGTATCTTTTTGCAATAGAATTTTATTTGTCATGTTGGGCCAGAAGCATCAGTTAATAATTCACTCCACAGTTCCATAAAGCTCTGTCTCTATCTTTCACACAACCTTGCAGCTTCACAGGCTGTTGTTAAGAGTAGCTTAAAATAGTCTGTTATCAGTCCTGACCGTCGCTGTTATAACTCAAACAGATGCACTCTCTCTGATCATTCTGACAAGGAAACAAAATAAACAACCCAGTAACTTTGAAAAGGACATGGACACACTGAATACATCCCCAGGAACGGGCACTCACTCCAGAGCTTGGGGCAGGAGATACAGAAAGAAAGGGCAAATCAGCAACAGAACCGCTGCCCTGACCTTGTTATCAGAGAATCACAGAGCCATGGGATGCTTTAGGTTGGAAGGGACCTTAAAATCATCCCATTCCACCCCCTGCCATGGGCAGGGACACCTTCCACTAGACCAGGTTGCCCCAAGCCCCATCCAATCTGGCCTTGGACTCATTTCTGAGTCAGATCTGGATTTTGTTTTCCCACATCCTTGCCTGCTGCCACATATTCATCTGGTTTGGATGCCAGGGTTCAGAAAAGTCACACTCAGGTCAAGATACCTGGAATTAGTATGACTGCAGTGTACAGGTAAATATCCCAACTGTCCAGGCTTAGTGATCTACCATGTCCCCCAGAGACGCCTCAAAAGAACAGAATAAAAACATCAAGTAAGAAAACTGGTTCAGAAATGGCACCTCCCGAGCCAAACACACTGTTCTTAATTCTGCAGGGTCAAGACACTTCCCACATTCAATCACAACTATGTCATCTCTGATTTAGTTCAGCCTGCTGATTTGCAGCTCGTGGAGCAGGAGGGAGCTCTGAGGGTCAGCCTGGACTGCCCTGCTCTGCAAAGGCAACAACCCACACGGGCCCCGAGTCTTCAGGCCAACAAATCATATTTTTTGTCTGGTAACAGTAAAACAAACCTGGGGACAGATTCCTGCTCTCAGCCACCACGTGGACACACCCCAGGCCCTTCCCACAGCTCAGTGCAGGTGCTCTCTCCTGCTGGAGACACTCCTGGGGGAGGTCTGGCAGGTGAACACTTCACCTGAGCATCTCAGGGATGTTCTGCTCCCCCGTGGGCAGTGGAGGCTTTTATCCCATAAAGCTCTGACAGAGCCATTCCCACTGCAGGGATCTGCTCCCTTAAATCTTTACAGAAGGTCAGCCTGAGAGTTGACAGACCCAGCAAGGGAGGGATCTTTGCTGAGGCCAGAGGTGAAGGAGGCTCCAGAGCTCAGGGAGTTCTTCAGGTTTCTGGATGACAGAAACTTGGGGCAGAGAGAGTTGAGACTGGAGAGCTCAAGGGTCCAGAGAGGACTCAGAGACCCTTCCAGTGCTTAGAGGAGCTCCAAGAGAGCTGGAGAAGGATTTTGGACAAGGGTCTGGAGGGATAGGACAAGGGGGAATGGCTTCCCACTGCCAGAGGGCAGGGATAGATGGGATGTTGAGGAGAAATTCCTTCCTGTGAGGGCAGTGAGGGGCTGGGATGGAATTCCCAGGGAAGCTGTGGCTGTCTCATCCCTGGAAGTGTCCAAGGCCGGGTTGGACAGGGCTTGGAGCAAACTGGGCTAGTGGAAGGTGTCCCTGTCCCTGGCAGGGGGTGACACTGGATGGGCTTTGAGGTCCCTTCCAACCCAAACCATTCCAGGATTCTGTGATTCCATGACATTTCCCTCTCCAGGCCTGTGTTGTCCATGTTCAGTTGAGTTTGTTGGTGGAGCAGTGACAGAACCTGTGGCTGTCCCTCATTCTGGACACAAACCCTCCAGGGAGCCCCAGGGTGCCCCTTCCCCTCAGCACACCCTGAGAAGGGGCTGTTGCTCCCCAGGCTCTGCAGGAACAATCCCCCATGGATCTCCAGGAGACGGGGAATTCCTGGGCCAGGAGAGCAGGACAGCCCTGGCTGTGGGGCAGGCACAGTGCTCCGAGATGCAGGGGGGGCACTGATAATGCAATTTAACTTGGAGCACAACAGGAGCTCCTCAAATCCTTCGACTTTGGCAGTTCCTGTCCCTGTGGAATTGTCTGCACGGGGCCAGCAAGGAGGGGACTGTTTACAGACAAACAAACACAACCTGGCAGAGTGAAGAAAACAGCCAGAGCCACCCAAATTCATCATCTCCCTCTTGTCCTCTTCCCTTAAAACACAGGATAGGCAGCCAGATGGGAGTCAGGAGCAAAATCCATATGCTTTCCCTAAAAAATCCCACAGAAAACTCTCTGGACTGTATTTGTGGAATTAATGAGATGAGTGGCAAACATTACAGATTTGTCATGTGCACGAGGAGTGTTGCCATAACCAGCACTGAGTTATTCATCACCAACTCTATCAGTACAAGTTCAATATTCCCACATTAAAACCCCCTCTTTGGCCTGGAAGCATTGGGAAAAACCCTGAAAAAGTACCTGTGTAGAGTCAAACTTTGTGGCACTAACAAAGATTTTATTTCCTGCTGAGCTAAAAATCAGTAGGGTAAGAAAATGGGGAAAAGACATTCCTTGATCTGTGCAAAAATTAAACCAACCACTCATTCATTCCTATTAATTTATAAGAATATCTGTTAAATTCTAAACACTGGGAACAACTTGCAGGTACCACACATAAGGGGATTAATGATAATTGTCAGCAACATGTCAAAGGAAGATGATTCTCTAGTTTTAAACTTTGCAAATTTGGAAATAACCAGAGAGTCCCAAGGAAGGGGATTTTAACAGCACAATTCTGAGAACTACTGGCAAAGAGGGTACTGTAATTAAGACAGAAATTAAAACACAATACCTTGGCAACTTTTATCCTTGTTGTAAATGAGATGTTGTTACTCAAAAAGGATTTTAAAATATTTCCTTTCCACACTCTTTAGCCCCAGGACAGGGATGACTCCCCCTTTTTTGCTTTTAAAGGGTAAAGGAAATGAACTCCAGTGTTATTTTTCCATCTCTCTGCTCTAAACTCCCTACCTGGTCTGCATTAGCAGTGTCACAGCAGCTGCTTGTTCCTGGGGAGTCCTTTTCTCTCATTGCCTAAATCAGGTTTCAGTCAGAGGTGTTTGTGAAGTGGAAATAACACCCCATTTGCGGGGGGGGGTTGGGAATTAGCAGAAAATTAGCTCAGGGAAAAAAAAAAGGAGGAAAATGCCACCAAATTGTCAGATTAAATATAATCTTCATCTATTACAATAAACCCTTTCTTACAGATACACCTTTCCTCTTGGCAATCAGCAATTCCCTGCATTGATCCCTGCAGTGATCCAGAAAGGAGCTCCAGTGGAGGGTTTTAGGGAGGAGAGCTCAGGAAAACTCTGATTTCCCTGCAAACAGAGCCCTGGGTGCCAAAGGAACCCCTCTGGAGAACACCCAGGGAATTTTTGTGCAACCCTGCTCCTCATGACAGAAAAGCTTTTAATGGATTACCAGTTCAACCAAAGCTGCCCAGGGAGACTGTCCTGAAAAACAGGAATGGATTTGGATTTTCCAGCAGCAGGAATCTCTCAGTTCCTGAAAACAGGGCTGGGCTCCCTCACTTATCAGCTCTGGGTATAATTAAACATCTCCCAACTTACACTGACTTCACATGTATTCAATGTGCTTCTCAGTATTTTGTCAGAGATACATTCATTCCTGCAAATATATCATAGATATTTATAATTATATAATTATGTAATAAGCATGGAATTATATTTATTATTCTATACCATTTTTATAATATAAAATATTTAAACATATAAAATACAAATATATAAATGTAGCTATAACTATATATTTATATTTATATATTTTAATGTTTTATATTACCATATAGAATAATAGAATAATCATATAATTATATTTTTATTTATATTATATTCAAAAGATAAATATAAATATATAAATATATAAATATATAAATGCAGCTATAACTATATATTTATATTTATATATTTTAATGCTTTGTATTACCATATAGGATAATAGAATAATCATATAATTATATGTTTATTTATATTACATTTATATTACATTTAAAATAGAATGTATAAAACTATAAATATATAATGTAGCTATAACTATATATTTATTTTTATACTTATATCTATGTATTTTCATATTTTATATCTAAATATTTTCATATTTATATTTTCATATAATATATAAGATTATAATAATAATATAATTATATTTATTATTTTATATTATTTTTATAATATAAAATATATAATATACAAATATAAAAATGTATCTATAACTATATATTTATTTATATACTTATATCTAGGTATTTTTATATTTTCATATTTATATTTTCATATAATGTACAATATTATAATAATGATACAATTATATTTATTATTTTATATTTTTATAATATAAAATATATAATATACAAATATATAAATGTAGCTATAACTATGTACTTATATTTATATTTATATATTTTAATATTTTTATATTCTCATGTAATACAGAATAATAGAATTATCATATAATTATATTTATTATTTTATATTGTATTTATATTAAACTATACAAATATATACATATATAATGTATACTATATGTAGTATATATTTATATATAAAATATATAAATATGTAAATATATAAAGGGGAAAAGCAGCCCTTTGCCTGTGCAGAACACAAGGAATGTGAAGAACAGGTGAGACATGCTGGGTAAATCCCTTTGTTGGTGAAAGTTAATTAATTAATTCCTCCCTGCCTGGTGTCTCAGACCTGCAATTAAGCAAAAACTCCCCCTGAGAAAAAAAAAAAACCCAAGTTATTGTGACTGAAGGTTTGAAACATCAACAACTGCAGTTGCCACCAACGTTGTCAGGTGGTTGTGAGTCTGTGCTTTGAGGAGAAATGATCCCTCAGATCCCAGTCCCGAACTAGGCTGGGATTTCCCCAAAATCATATTTCCAGTTGTGGAATCCCAGAGTGGTTTGGGTTGGAAGGACCTCAAAGCCCATCCAGGGCAGGGACACCTTCCACTGGCCCAGGTTGCTCCAGCCTGGCCTTGGACACTTCCAGGGATGGGGCAGGAAAACAGGAATCTCCATGTGCTGATGCTGCAATTCAAATTCCCAGTTGAAAACTGGCTGCCTCGTAACATCCAAAGGTTGGGATTTCCCTCCCTTCACCGGGGGAAGGGTTTTTCTCCATCTTTTCCTTCCAGCACCATTAGATTGACCCTGAAAACCTGAGGTTAGCAGATTGTCCTGCAGCACTACTATATTTATTTATATTCTATTACATTATTTTCAAAAGCACCAAGGTCAAAGGGAGCAGAAACCCGTTTAATCCCCATCCCTTTGATGCTGGAGCAGTCGGATCACCTTAAGGGGATTCCAGCCCAGGGTCTGGAAGCCATATGGGAACACACACACACTAATCCAGTTTGCCTTCCCTGCCCTCCTCCCTCCCCCTCTGCCCTGGATGCACTGGATTTGCCACATTCCAGACTGACTCAGGCTGGGGTCAGACACTGAACATTCCCATGGATTACCTGGAATTCTGTGATTGGAGCAGTGCAGGCAGCTGGAAGCTCACACATCCACATCCCCCCCCCCCCCAACTCCCATCCACTTGGTACCAAGTACCACAAAATCCCTGGAAAACACGCAGGAAAAATCCACTCCAGTGCCCAGATCCCACAGAAAAGAGATGACAGGACACAGAGTCACCTGCCCAGTGGGATAAAACACCTTGGCAACACTTCCCTGACCCAGATGCAAACACTGACAACAAGAATTCCAGCTCTGGGGGAGGAAGGAAAGAGAGAATAATTCCACTAGACAAAGATCCAGCTTTTCCACCCGCTGGGGGGAGGAGGGAAGACACCGATGGAAACCCTTGGACACTTATTTTGGGGGAGGGTGTCCCTAATTTGGGTGTATTTAACCTTTAGCCTGTGGTTTTCCCTCCTTTTGAGGAAACCAGGAATAACTGAGTGGATCCCCAGGTGTGAGAAGCTGGAATGGGCTTGGAAAGATCTCTGGGCTCCATCCAGGTGGAATAAGGGGAGTATTTCAGTTAGAGGGGAGCCTAAACTGGATTATCTGAAGGTTCCTTCTGGCTTTTAAAAAATACAGGAATGTGGGTGAGGCAGCTGCTGACGTGGCTCAGTGTCCCCTGAGACCCCGAGGAAACAATTCCACAGCACCACCTTACCCAGGATAAAATGGAAATAAACCCGAGTGGGAAAGGTCTCTAATTGTTTATTTTTACCACTGCCAAACAAATTGTGTCCTTAGGGAATGCCACACATTCCTGCTGGCTCTCTACCCCACGGCACGGCAGCAAAACCAAGTGCCACAGGTTTGGAGCAGAAAACCCTGCGTGTCCAACCTGCTGCAGCCTCATTTCTGGGACTGGACTGAGCAGATTCCACTGAATTTTAGGCATTTTATCTTAAAAAAACCCCAACAAACTCCTAAATCCTTCATGCACACCCATCTAGTATTGAGTTTTTAGGGAGCTGGAGGTTTTTTAGGGCTCTCCTGGAGTTTATTCTGGTTGTTTCTGTGCTATGAGGAATGAGCACAAACTGCTGGCAAAGCAGTAAAGGAGCACAGATTTCACATTCCCACAGCACAGGAAAGCACCAAGTACCACAAAATCCCTGGAAAACATGCAGGAAAAATCCACTCCAGTGCCCAGATCCCACAGAAAAGAGATGACAGGACACAGAGTCACCTGCCCAGTGGGACAAAACACCTTGGCAACACTTCCCTGACCCAGATGCAAACACTGACAACAAGAATTCCAGCTCTGGGGGAGGAGAGAGAGAATAATTCCACTAGACAAAGATACAGCTTTCCTTAAATTAAAACCTAAAGCACAAGCAGGCTTGGAGAATTCCCTTATTAGCTTTGAAAAACTACTGTGCATTAAAAACCCCTCGGAATGTATTTCACTTCTTCAGCCCAGCAAAGAACCCAACCAAGGCTCTGCCATTTGTTCATTTACAGCAAATATTAACATGGAGCCCAATTTTCTGCCTGACACAATCACTTTCATTTTTACCAAGACAAATGTTTCGAACAGCAAAGAATAATTAAATCATTTTCTACTCCAAAAGGAGCCTCATCGTGGGGTTTCACCCTCCTGTAAATCATCTAATGATTTCCTGCTCGTTTAAATATTGCCTCCCCACAGCAAACGGATTAGCCAAGGGAAAATCTACATATGGAGGGACTTGCAGGAGGGACCAAGTTCCTAAATCATCCAAAGATTTCCTGTTACCTTGGCCTGAGAAACGGGGCAGGATAAGGCATAATCAGCAGGGCCAAATTCCCATCTGGGATGTTCCTTTTTCACTTCAAAACAAATCCTCTGCTACAAAGAGAGAAAGGAATTTCCACTTAAATTTCGAAATTTCAAATTAACTCTTCAGTCACTGCGAAGAAAAAACCTCTCAGTTTGCTCGAGGTACTCTCTCTTCAAAAGAAAAGCCTCCAATCAGCTATAAAATATGTATATATATAACATGTATTTGATCAGAATATTCAGAAAAGCTTATCTGGAGATATAAAATGATTTTAGAATACTTCAGATTTGATACAAAGGGAGATAAACCAGTGAGGAGTTGTCATTCTCCCTTTTTCAAGTGGTTCACGTGAGGAATGAGCAGCTTCCTCAGAAAGAATAAGTTCTGGATTTCATTTCAAGTGCAGTTGTGAGGACAGTTTTAGCAAAGTGATTTACAGGTCAGGCCTCTTGTTCTTGGTTTTGCTCAAAAATTGGGGGTAACTGGCAACAAAAAACCTGACAGAAGAGCATTTGCTGATGTGGGCATTGCATGGACCTGTGAAAGCTGGATCCTGTGAGTGGATCAGGAATTCTGCCAGCACTGAAACCTCCCAGTGCCTCAGTGCAGAACCTCCTGGAGCCTCCCCAGCGTCAGCTGGAAACTCTGAGGGCGAGATTTGAGGAACTGTCAAGCCCACTGTCATTTCTAATGAAGGTTAAACTGTTCATCTCCAGGTAAAATCACTCACTGCTTCCCAGCTTTACAATTCCCACCCCCCTGAGCCCCCCTGCTCCCTCTCCTGGCGGTTTGGAGCCCTCAAACACCGAGAGGACCATTTCCCTCCCCGTTCTCAGCAGCACTGCAGAACCAGGCTGGCAGGAGGAACCCCTCTGGTTCTGCTGCATCTTGGAAGCAGGGAAGGTTGGGCTGTTTTCCAGGTACCTGTGCAGGAAACACATCCCATGGACTCATAGAATCATGGAATAGAGCATCACAGAATGTCCTGAGCTGGAAAGGACCCCCAAGGATCATCCATCCAGCTCCTGCCCCTGCACAGACCCCTCAACAATCCCACCCTGTCCCACAGTGTTGTCCAAACCCTCCTGGAGCTCTGGCAGCCTTAGGGCTGTGACCAAACCCTGGGGAGCCTGGTCAGTGCCCAACCACCCTCTGGGGGAAGAACCTTTCCCTGGGATCCAACCTGAGCCTGCCCTGACACAGCTCCAGCCATTCCCAGGGTCCTGTCCCTCCTCCCACAGAGCAGAGATCGGAGCTGTCCCTCAGGAAGAGCTGCAGCCCCTGGTGAGTCCCCCCTCAGCCTCCTCTTCTCCAGGCACATCCCAGGTGAGGAATCCTGCTCACCCCCATCCTGACCCTGGAATGGCTCTGTTACCAGAGGGGTGACTCTTGGGCTGGAGGACACAAACAACTCTGATTCCAGCTCACACAGAATGCTCACAAAATCACAGAATCCTTGAATCCTTAAGACTGGAAAAGCCCTTTAAGATCATCAAGTCCACCAGCTGAGCCAGCACCATCTCCCTGTTCAGGTGCCACTGAACAGCCCAGTGGAGGGGATCTCACCCACCACGGTGGCACCATCCCACCAGGAATGCAGATTAACTTGTGGAACTCCCCAGTTCCTGCAGCTGGACTCCAATTCTGCCTCTCATTCCACACAGTCCGACCCCTGTGCCCTCACCCAGAGTTCAGTCCCCGACCCTGGAGCTTTAGTGTGTCACAGCACAGCCCAGACTGCTGCTGGGGTTGAGTCACAGCCCAATTCCCACACAACAAAGCTCTTCTTTGTCCTGCAAACGGGAGAACTTGAGAAACTAAAGGAATTTCTCAAGGTCACAGAAGAATTCCGTGGAAATTTCCAGCAGAACCCAGGCACTGACACCTCAGTGACACACAGCCTTTAACAGGGACTGAGGCTTCCAAGTCAGGGGAATATTTTTAATTTCCCTTTGCACTGGCAGGAACAGGGCCACAGGGATGGGACAGAGGCTAAACATCTCTAAAGAGTTGAGTCCTTGGAAGCAGAGCTGCTTTAGGATCAGAATTGCTGTGCCTGGGCTGCCTTAGAGCTGATCCTCTCCCTTCCCACACATCAGGGGTCCAGAGAACCTCAGGGACAGGAACAGCACAAAACCTGCCCAGGCCAAGAAACACGGTTGTCACACTGGTAGAATGGCAGTGGAGAAAGGAGATTTGCCCTTGGAATTCCAAAATAAGTTGATTCCTACAGGAAACTAGTGAGCAGGACCAGAGATTCATTTAATATCAATTGAAAGATTTACTTTTTTTTCTTGCCATAATGAATCTGGAATTCACTTTTGCTCAATGTTAAAAAACTGAAGCTGATATACAGACACTGGATTTTTAAGCAAGAGGTTTGTTTTTTTTTTTTAGTGGGGAGGGAAGGGAGAATATGACAAGTTAACAATGGTTGCAAATGATATTTAAATCTTACTGGAAAGAAAGGAGGAATTGCTTGCTTTTACACACAGCAAAACTATAACATTCCAAAAGCATCATTATTCTGCTGTTAAAATGACAAAAAAATAACCCTCTGCCCCAAGAGATAGTGCAATTTATTAGGATTTCAGTGCTGAATGCACTTGTCAAATATTTAATCATCCCATTCTTTGCATTAAAAACCACGCAGAGGGAGTTTGCCACTGGGGAACAGCAACAATCCACAGAAGTGGGAATATTTTTGGAGGACACTTCTCAAGAAGAGCGGGAGATGTGGGCAGGGAAGATGGTTGTGCTGCTGTTGTGGGCTGAGGAGAACGTTCAGAGTGGAAAATGGGAGGAGAGGCTCCTCCAGGCCTGGATTTGCCGAAGGCACAGCTGAGGGAACGGATCCGAGAAGATTCGCACCCCCTGAGCTCGGGGGGTCTCTGCAGACAGAAAGCAGGGATTCCTTAGAAAGGGGCGTGGAAGCAACAGCCTGTTTGGGAATGCTGGACCTGAGAGTCTGCCTGCCCTGGGGATCCCAGGAAAGCCACGACCTGCATCAGAGAAGGGGCTCAGCTGGAAGCTCCCACTGCTCCGAGTCCTTTGGGAGCTCCCGAGCTGGCCCAGAGGGACCTGAGGGAGGTGACACAGCAGGGCAGGAGCCACAAGTTTCATCCCACTCCTGGATTTTCCTCTGGCTCCCTGAGCACAGAGGCATGAGCTGAGAGACCAGAACAGAACTGTGGGCAACTCGGGATTTGAGTGGAATGGGAATTCCACAGGGAATCTCACAAAGCTGACTCGACTTCTTTCACTTTGAACCAGGCTCTGCTCTCCTACAGAATTCCTTCATTACTTTGTTTTGGAGCTTCTCCCCAGCCACCTGTTTTCACAGCCTGACCATTCCTCCTTTGCCTGTCGATGTAAATCACGAGTGCCCAAAAAATCTGAGTGATAAAACAACTGCTCCCTCAGGAACAACCCACAATCCTGACAGCTGACTTTTCCATCAAACTCCATCCACTGGGGAGAATATCAAGTCTGTCCTGTATGAGGAACTTTGCTGGTTCATGTCTGCAGAGATCTGTGGCTCCAGACAATATTTATGTTATATATAACCTGATTGCTGTTTGGCCTCACTGTGTAACAGAGCAGTTGGAACAATCACCACAGTAGAGGGATTATTATTCCACCTTTCTGCAGGTGGAAAGCAGGGAAATGGGTTTCCATCAGTCATTTCACAGGAGCCCAGCTCAGCACCTGCAGCAGAACACCTGCACTGCTCCTTTAGCAGTTCCCTTTCCTCGGGGTCTCAGCCTCTCTTTGCACATCAGGATCTGGAATTATTCTAGGAACAGATCACAAACCTGATTTCTTGACCCTGAACAGCCAAATTCATACAAGATTTGAGTCAGGAGGCACAAAACAGACCAGAGAATGTCTGACAGTACATTCCAGCCACTCTGAGAGCTGCCCCCAGAAAATGGAATTTCCCTCCCAGGGAAATTCTGCTGGTTCAAATTTAATTTTCTTCTAACAGAAGAACAAGAAAACAACTGCTACTTTCAGCTGAACTTGTTTCAGCCCTTGTACACAAAAGGTGTTCAATGTTTCTGGGAACATATAGCCTAGAAACTGAGAACACCACCACATATTTCAGTTTGATACAGATAAAACACCCTGATATTCCCAGATCCCACGTAAATCTAAGCAATTTTTACTGATTCACCTGCAACCAACACCAAGTAAACTATAAACCAAAGTGGGTTTCTCCTAAAGGACCTGGTATTCCAGCAGGATGGCTAACTGTAAATCTTGTCCTTCCCCCTGCAAAATGGCAATGTCAGAACTGGGACACAGGTAAGGATGTACCTGGAATTCCTAGAAAAACACAGGCACCATTTGCTTCACAGGACACGGCAAGAATTCACCAGCAGAGCAAGAAAATGCTACTTTACACCTCATTTCATTCAGTGGGATTCCAGGGAGCATCCTGAGTATCCACAATGACCTGAGAGAGGAACCACAACAGTGTTTGAGTGAACTTAACCCTGGAAATGAGTCGTGTGAGGAGGTGCCCTGTGAGAAAGCCTCACTGAGAGGGGAAAAAACCAATTAATGTCACTTAGACTTCATTTTCTTCAATTAAATCTGCTTTAGTTGGAATTCCAGCAGCCCTCCAGCCAACAGGACTGTGGGATTTACCCAGAGAAGCTGTGGCTGCTCCTGGATCCCTGGAAGTGTCCAAGGCCAGGTTGGAGCAACCTGGGACAGTGGAAGGTGTCCCTGCCCATGGCAGGGGTGGAACTGGATGGGCTTTGAGGTCCTTCCAACCCAAATCAGTCTGGGATTCCATGAGCTGGTTTAGATGGGACATTGGGAAGGAATTCTTCCCTGTGAGGGTGGGGGGACACTGGCACAGGTTGTCCAGAGAGGTTGTGGCTGTCCCTCGATTCCTTATTTAGCCCTAAGATCTCTGGAGAGACCTGAGAGCCCCTTCCAGGGCCTAAAGGGGCTCCAGGAGATCTGGAGAGGAACTGGGGACAAGGGATGGAGGGACAGGACACAGGGAATGGCTTCCCACTGCCAGAGGGTTAGATGGGATATTGGGAAGGAATTCCTCCCTGTGAGGCTGGAGAGGGGCTGGGCTGGAATTGCCAGAGAAGCTGTGGCTGCCCCTGGATCCCTGGAAGTGTCCAAGGCCAGGTTGGACGGGGCTTGGAGCACCCTGGGCTAGTGGAAGGTGTCCAGTGGAACTGGATGGGCTTTGAGGTCCTTTCCTCCCAAACCAGTGTGGGATTCCAGGATTCCTGGTACCAGCAACACTCCCAGCAGCAACAGCTGAGTTGAGTAACAAAGCTCAACAACAACAGCAACACACCACTCACAGCCTTCAAAGCACCAATTTCTGAGAGTCACAGGGTGTTAATTTTCCCTTAATTAGATACCTGTGATCCAAATCAGCCTTGGGGGACGACTCACACATTACTAAGAAGGCACATGAGCCCCCAGTATCCCAAACCCTTCAGCAGAGGGATTGACTCATCCTGCCCACTCCCAAGACATTCTTAGCACTGTGCACCAGGAGCAGCAGGACTCAGGGACTCTTTCAAAACAATCTATTTTATCTGTTGGTTTAACAATAAATTAAATTTAACAATAAATTAAACTTAACAATAAATTAAACTTAACAATAAATTAAACTGGAGGGGGCTTGGAGCAGCCTGGTCTAGGGGAAGGTGTTGGATTGGATCAAGATGGGCTTTAAAGTTTCTCCCAACCCAAACCATTTTGGGAATTCTGGGAATCGAAATTCCAGAGTCCCTCACTGAAAATGGAGCTCCCAAATTCAGTACACCTGGACCATCACATGCCATTAATTTCCTTCAAAATCTGAGAGATTAAACAGCCACAAAAGGGACAGAAGAGGAATAATGACAAGCAGGGATTGTTGTCTACATATGTGAAGCGTCCTAGGCAGGAAAATGGGAATATTAATATTAAACTAACCTGAGTCACTGTGCTATCATTGGTACAGGGAGAGGGAGGAAAGGGAATGAAAACTGCCAATAAAGGCCTAGAGAAATCTGGAACTGAAGGGGAGAAGTTACATATTTCCATCTCTCCTCTCCTCTAATCCTGGGTTTGATCTGTGTTGCTGACATTTCTTGGGCTAAAAGCCCATTAAAACTCACCTGGCAAATCCCAAGCAGCCATTTCGAGCCTGAGCCACGAGTGCCCTTTGTCCAAGCGTGCACAGGGGGAAAATCCAGGAGCCACAGCACGTGGGGAAAATTCATTCCAAACTCATTTGCCTCATGCCAGCGCATCCAACCCTCCCTCAGAACAGAACTGCTTTCAAACAGTTTGGAAGAAAATGTCCTGATTCAATACAGGGCTGAGCCACCACTGGCGCTCATGGAATCATGGAATGGTTTGGGCTGGAGAGAACTTAAAGCCCGTCCAGTGCCACCCCCTGCCCTGGGCAGGGACACCTTCCACTGTCACAGGTTGCTCCAATCTGGCCTTGGACACTTCCAGGGATGGGGCAGCCACAGCTTCTCTGGGAATTCCATCCCAGCCCCTCCCCACCCTCCCAGGGAGGAATTCCTTCCCAATATCCCATCTCTCCCTGCCCTCTGGCAGTGGGAAGCCACTCCCTGTGT